ATCCATCACCAAGATGGCCACCCGCAGGTAACAGCGGTGCCACGCATGACGTCATCACGCGCATACGCGATGACATCACTGCGGGGTGTCACCCGGTAGCCTCCGCTGCAAACTTCCTATTCCAAATATTGTTGTACCCATTTATGATTTTGAAAATTGCAATTAGGTCCCCCCTCAAGCGCCTCTTTGCTAAGGAGAACAAATTTAATTTCTTAATGCGATCTTCGTAGCTCAGGCCTTCTATCCCCTTTATTAATTTTGTACCCCTTCTCTGAACTCTCTCAAGTTCAAGAATATCTTTCCTGAGAGTTCGTGACAAAAACTGAACCGCATATTCAAGATGAGGCCGAACCAGTGATTTATAAAGTGGTAACATTACATTATGTTTTTATCCCTTGCCAAAAGTCCTTTTTTAATGTAGGATAATATCCTGTCTGCTGTGCTGGCCGCTGCTTGGCACTGCATGCTATTGCCAAATTTGTGATCTATGAGCACCCCCAGGTCTTTCTCCATCTTTGACTTCCCCAGTGGTGCACCCCCTAGGTCAGGGGTAGCCAAACTCCGGCCCTCCAGCTGTGGTGGAACTACAAATCCCATGAGGCATTGCAAGATTCTCACAGCCACAGACATGACTCCCAGAGAGAGATGCATCATGGGATTTGTAGTTTCACCACAGCTGGAGGACCGGAGTTTGGCTACCCCTGCCCTAGATAGTAGTTTACACACATGTTCTTTGCTCCCATGTGCATAACCTTACATTTTTCGATATTAAATTGCATCTGCCATCTTGCAGCCCACTCCTCAATTTTATCTTTGAAGTGAGTTTATGTCTTCTTGAGAATTTACTGCCCTACACAGATTTGTACCATTCTCTATTTCGTTTATGAATAACATAAACAGGATCGGTCCCAAGACTGTAGATCCATTAGGCACCATTATGCATTGGCCATTACTGACCAAAGTCACTTAAGTTCTAAGTGACTATACCAGTGGCGTAACAATCGCCATAGCGACCAAGGCGGCTGCTATGGGGCCTGGCCAGGGCATCCCTCTGATGCCGTGTGGGCCGCCTGGGTCGCTATGGCATGTAAGGGTGCTGACTGTCACTAACACAGCTCAGCAGCGGCGTTTCCCCTCACAACCGCTGCGGAGCTGTGTCAGTGACAGCCAGCAGCTACGGCAGAAGAGGCCAGCGTTCGCAGTGAAGGAGGAGGCGGGGCCCGCCTAAGAGCAACCTCGCATCCTCTTACATCCCTGGCCAGCGACCTAAGAGCAGGTGGGGCCAGTGATGTAAGAGGAGGTGGGGCCCGTCGATAGAAGAAGAGGCGGGCCCGGGGACGGAAGAGGAGGCATGGCCCGGCGCCCACGGAGGCGGACAGCGCTGACAGGTAAGAGGTGTGCAGCCCATCTGAGACCCTGCAGAGCCCACTATTGAGAGTCTATGGTGGGCTCTGCAGAGTCACTCTCAGGTGGGCTGTTTGGTATATCATGAATAACTAAATGTGCCGAGCTAAGACAATGATCAGATATAAAGAGTAAAAAAAAAATTAAAAAACAGTGACTCAAACAAATGTCAGTGTTTGGTATATCAGGTGGGCTCTGCCAGTGGCATAACTAGCAATCACAGGGCCCAATACAAAATTTTGCTATGGGGCCCTGTGATTTCTAGTTACGCCCCTGGACTATACCCAATTATTTATTCTCCCAGAACTGGCTGCAGTTTAATTATAAGCTATATAAAAAGAAACTGCACAGTTTATTGTAAATAGGTAGAAAATTACATATTTGAGAAGAGTGCACATGCTAAGCATGAATACAGTATAGGTATTTATTTTCTTTTGTGACTAATATTATGGGCATTTTCTTTCTTTTACAAGAAATTTAGCATAGCTTTGCTGTAAGGTGTGCACCCTAAGGTGGATCCTGGAAGCAGTCTTCTCCATATTTCTGGATTCTAAGAAATGTTCACCCCCTCTGTGGAATATCAGATAAATTGGAAGAGCCTCTGGTGGGAAACCAGAGAGCAGTGTGATATATTTAAATAAATGGGATTAGGCAAGGCATTCTGCTTTTACTTTGCCTGGCTATTTAGTTTGTTTGGGGCATATATTGGGGCATTTGTAATTGATCAATTTTCCATTACCTTCCATAACACCTGCCAGTATCTGCATGGAAATACAAACAGACTGTAAATTAAAAGGTATAGTACTGGGTCAGACTGATATTTCCTAGGACTGAACTTCCCCATGGATATCATTGACATAAATTAATTGTATGTAGCACTTGTCTAAAACCCATTTGTTGTATCTGTGGTCATTTCTAGGGTGTGTGCGGTCTGGAGTGAATAGCTCATTACCATACTGTGCCACCTTAAATTTGATCTCAGAGTAATTCATGCGGCTGGTGGACTCTATCATTAAAGTGACTCTCTCATTAGAAAAGGTATGGGGCCTACCACTGCTGACTTCTACTTTGAAAATCTTAGTTCCCTGGCTATCATGCTGATCCTTTGGCTTCAGTGCTTTCCAAGTCTGGAACAAATGCAGTGACAAGGAATTCTGAAATTTTTCTGATGTGTATTTAGAATAGCATGCTCCAGGTCTGTGACTCGATAGTATTAAAGCCAGGCACAGCCAGTTAACTAGAATTCTCAAAAACATGTCCAACAATGGCAGCTCATGTAATGTACTTTTCTCATGACTAAGTCATTTTAACATCCAAGCTCTTGTAGCCTACGCTTGATCAACAATTATTCAATAAGTCAGTCAACAATTGTGTTGTGTTGGTAAATACTACTTATTTACATGCTCAGTCTTGTTTTCTTTTTATTCCTAGCTTGAACCGTAACTGGCTGGACAGGTCAATTGGTAATTTCTAAACTGACTATGAAGAGAAAACCTTAGTTTAAAGAGAAATTAGCAAATCAGACCACTAGGTTTACGAGCTGTGCAGATTGGCCTGGATATTTACAAATACTTTCTGATGAGCCAAATATGAACCAGGCAAAGCAGTATTATCCCCTTGCCTCTTGTATCGGAGTACTAAATTGTGTTTGCCATCAACAGAACCGGGTAATGTACAGTTAAATGAAACCTGAAGAAAAGAGACATGTGCTATCTCAAAAGCTTGCATATAGAATCTGCTCCATTAACTCAAAAAGTATAATTTCACTTCTTTTGAAGTTCTGCTCAGCAACTCTTAGCACTGCTCTTGCATTCCAGAAACCCAGCTTGGTTCTCCTTTGATCAATCTACTTTGGTTCTCCCAAACCTCCTATTATATCCAGCCAGTGTTATCTCGGTTGTTTCTTGGGTCATTCACAAAAGGGTGAAGAGTTTGGAGAAGGCAGGAGAAGTGAACAATCTAGGACAACATAGCTGAACTGGAAAGTGAGACGTTTTCCAAATCAGCTATTTCAGCCTACATTGTTCACTTCTCCTGCTTTCTCCAAATCCTTCACCCTTTTGTGAATAACCCTGGATCTCAGCCTTTACTACTATACTCTGTTCAGGGTATCATGTGTCTGGCTACACATAATGGGCAACAATCATTGTCTTGATAATGGGCATAATGGGCAACAATCATTGTCTTGACAATCATTGTCTGTGATGATTTTGCTGTTCTTAATTTAGGTACAACTACCAAGCATCTACTCCTAATTTAAACAGCTTTTGTGCTGAACATAATTTTCAGTGTATGTAGGCCTCAATAACAATGGTTTCTAGCATATGGAAAAAAAACAGTTCTGCCAGATTTCTGAAAGCTCACTATTACTTGTTATTCCATCTTACACCCAAATAGTAAAATTATTGCATAATGAATTAGCAGAATTAAACAGGAGGGTGTAAATGGAAATAAAACCCTATACTGACAAGCACATCTACTTGTGATGGGAGTAATACCATAATATATACTGCAGGGTAATAAAAGCTAAGTGAACAATTGTAGTAACGCATGTAATGCATCCTCAATCTGTTCAGGTTTTAACAGGTATACCTTGTACAAAGTACAAAGTTCAGTCTATTTCAAACAAAATATCAATACTGAAACAATTTGCTTCCTTATGACCAAGCAGGTAATGTAACTTCCTGTTTTTCCATTCACCAGTCCAGTAAATAATTGCAAGAATGCTTTGATAGTTGATGACAAATATTTTTTTTTTTTTTTTTTTAACGGTGTAGTTAATATTAACTGATGTACTTGTACCTGAATGGTAAGAAATTCTTAATAGCTAACATCCCATCTTGGAATTCTTTCCCATCAGCACTCCAGCAATACTAACATCCCTTTCAACATTCTATTCTCCAGGTTCTGGAGAAACACCTAAAAGGTGGTCTATTCTACATCATCCCCTGCCCCTTTTATAACACTGTTTAATTAGATACAAATAATACCTTCCAACAGTAAACAAAATCCATTCGGTGCTTACTAAGAGAGATTCAATTTTGGACAATTGATGACACCTTCAAGAACTAGCCCTTTGTGATATGTTTGAAATGGTAGGCATATACTGTATATATTATTCAACAGAAAATGGAGAAGGTTTTACTCAACAGCCCACTTCATCTCATTTTAAAAATATGGACCCGTCTGCGCATCACTAGTGATCCTAATTAGTTCTGGTTTGACGTTGACTTTGATTTCACATTCTCAAACAATTCATCCCCACACAGCTACCTCCTCATGTATCATTTCCCCCTCCTCTTTCAGATTGTAAGCCCTCAGGGGCAGGGCCCTCCTTACCATCCTGTCTTGAATTGTATTGTAATTGTAATGTCTTCCTTACATTGTAAAGCGCTGCGCAAACTGTTGGTGCTATATAAATACTATGTAATAATAATAATAATAATAATTTCCACAATCTTAATTATTCAGTAGCCTTTTTCAGTTATCTATTAGCTGAGTATTAGTACAACAGAAAATCTCGTTTACTTTTTCCTGTGTAGGAAGATGCATGGATTAAGATGTTATGGATCAATATGGGACAACTAACATCTTACCTAGAGACGTTGGCCTCGGTGTCTTAGGAGATGCCCTCTTTGGTGAAGACTCGGGATGTGGAGCTACGGGTTGTACAGGTCTAGTTTGTTTGGCTGCTAGTTTTTTTAAGCTTGCTTGTCTCTTTTCAAACATTTCCTGAACATCAGCCAACTTCTGTAGTACTTTCTGAACATTTGTCTGGAGAAGGAACAAGTAAAAAAAAATCAATCATTATTAAAAAATAAACAAAAACACAACAGTTACACTATTTTTTAAAATGTAGTGAACAACAATGATTCCTTTATCCTGTATATTCATATACATCAGCAACAACAGCATGCAGACTTGTACAAGCACAATGTTAAAGGTGGACATCAGGCAAACAGTAAAAACATATGCTTGATATACATATGTGTGAGATCATTTAAATGCAAAATATTTATATGTCTGTTCATCTAGTCCTCAGGTTTACACAGCCATTTAGCAGAGGCAAATTGGTGACTTCTTTTACAACAGTTAAAGTTAACTAGGGTTTTTCTTTTACATTTTTGTTTATGGAGGCCAAACTTACTTCGTTCTCTAGTGGTATCCAAACTGCTAGCCCCACCCCCCGTATTGGTGCCTCTATCAGCTAGCCAGCTACTGTGGAGGCACCCGTGCATGCACGCTCACGGCTGTTGCCCACACCTAGCTGTGTGTGTCTATAGACACACACAGCGTGTGGCCGGCCACGCCCCCACCCTTGTAGTCACAGAAGCAGCTTATGGCTCCTCTGCCCTTAGTACCCCCCCAAACAACCAGCAGGTTTGGGGAACCCCGAGTATCTTCCTGGTTGCGGCAGAGGATACAAGTGGCTACAGGCAAGTGGGGGAGGGGACGAGCGTTTTACAAATGTATGGGGTGTTTGACTTAATGCAAATAATTAATTAAGGTAGAAAACACCCAGCCTTTATTACTACTTCAAAGAGACACTTTCATCTTGCCCATGCATTGCAAAGTAACTGTCTCTGCAAAGGGCTGCACAGGAGTAAGAAGCAGCATGTGGGCACTGGCAAGGTAAGAATAAAGGGGGATTAGGGGGGCACCTTTGCAGGGACACTGAAACTTTGCCCTGCATAGGCCCCTTAACAGTATCTCTAAGCAGTACAGCTAAATCACCTCTCTACCCCAGCCTGTGATTGGACAGCAAAGAAGCAGCAAAAGACTGATGAAATGATCTCTTTTACATGTCCTACTTTAGTATCAGTAAATGTGCTTGCATCGGAGCTTGACTGACTCCTTGTGGTGCCTATCCTATTCCCAGCCTGAATTCTACTGTACAATGGATAACACATTCTTTACATGTAATAATTTACATTTGGCATTTAACTGCATTAGTTTGTGCTTTCATATCTGCCTGGAGTTCACAATTAAGGTTGTTTTGATTGCTTAGTGCCACTCAGGGCTGGTGCAGACCTAGGCGATCCAGTACGTGCGTCCTGAGACTGTTCGATCGTGTGGAGTTGCATACAGAGGTTGCCGCACCGCCCCATTGATTCCAATGGGGTTACATCCACGCAGCAATTAAAGAAAGAAGGTACATATACCTTTTTTCTGCCTGTGCGATCGTGTTCGATTGCACAGGCAGAATCGCGGCGGGAAAGCGCGCAATCTGCCCGGTGCGACTCGGGTGCCATTAGAAAATAATGCCACCGCCAGCGTGAAGCTGTGAATATTCTTGATGCTAAACAATGTTCTTATGTTATTTCCTGTACCACTGTCTCATATCATCAAAGAACATTTCTTTGTATGGAGGTAACGTAGTTAATCAAAGTTCAAGTCAAAGCTGTAAAAGTTTAAACAGTTATTAATTTCTAATAAAATGGACTGATATAACTTACCAACTCTATTACTTATCTACAGCATATGTGCCTACAGCAGGAGAGATACAAGGATTATATCTACTTAGGTCACCACTGCCTAGCGGTTTATCTATCTATCTATCTATCTATCTATCTATCTATCTATCTATCTATCTATCTATCTATCTGTGACGCAATGGATTGAAGGGATTTAGACTATGCACATGTTCATCCCTCTTATTACAACAGTTTGGGTGCACTTTAGACCATGCACATGTGTATCTCTAGTATTACAAAAGTTTGGGTGCACTTTACAGTAAACCTTTCATGAGAGAAATAGGGGACTGCCATTGCTGATCTCCTTTGTTCATGCCAATTGCCTGGCTGTTATTCAGACCCACGGGCTTAAGGGCCTTTCTAAATCACCCAATAACAAGGGAACAATATTGCAGATCCTAAAGGTGCTCATACACCTATCGATTTTCATTCTGAAATCATCAGAGAATGGTCTTTTGAACGATAATCGATCAGTTGATGGGACACTAACAATTTTAATTACTGTACTGGCCGAATTTCCTCAATCGGTCAGGCTAGAAACGTACGAAAATCGATGGATTAGTGGCGTTTTTGTACGAAAAAAACTGCAGCAAGAACACATGCGCAAACGAAAATCCGTTCTGTCAATCGACGAAATACGGTCAATTAGTATTGCTAACGAATGATTATCAAAATCGACTTTGGTCTGTGCATGATGGGCTATTTGAGCTAGAAAAAGGGTTCTGGCAGCAACGAAAATTTCCGAACGAAAATCGATAGGTGTATGGCCAGCTTTAATGTCAGAGCCCATACCTGTTCTAGGCCAGTGAATCAAAGTACTGAAACAAGAGTGTCACTACCAAACAGCTAACATTTTTCAGCAAAGGTTAGCAAAAACAGGGATCAGCAATAAGAGCTAATCTGTTGTGCTGTAGTGCTTGTGTGCTAACATGGAACATGCTAAAAGGAGGAGAGAGCAGAGTCAGAGTCCTGTGTTACTTCACTGCAGGAAAATCCACCCCTGCCAGACAGAAATGCATATCTTATGGCAGGTACGCAGCTTGTAAATATGTATTTTATCCGTGATTTAGCTGTTTGCTTGAGTTCAAATCAGTTGCAACCATTTAGACCGGGCCCTTAGATTAGGGGTAGGCAACCTCAGTACACCAGCTGTTGTGGAACTGCAAGTCCCATTAGGCATTGCAAGACTCTGACAGCCAGAGGCATGAGTCTCAGAGCCAGAGATATGATAGGATTTGCAGTTGCTCTGTAGATCGAGTGCCCAAGTTGCCTACCCCTGTCCTAGATAATGATGATTGAATGCACCAGAATGCATCTGAGTAGGTAAAATACTTCTGTCCAACACTTCTAAATCCAATTCAAATTAACTTTGTTTTAATGGCAAACACCAGCCAAACTGTTATTTCTAGTTTATATTTTTGCCAGGTTTATATTGTGGCCTAGACTGGGGAGACTTAATCCCTGTGACACCAGAACAAGGAATGAAGTGCAGTGTAGCAAATAAACCTGACCAATAAACCTTTCCCCATTCTAATAAATAAAAGTGGTTTTGTTGCTGAGTCTTCCCTCTTTGGAAAAATATCCCATCACTTCCTGTCCCTGTGGCACCCTATGATCAGGACAGGAAGTGAAGAGAAATATCCTCAATGGAAACACAGATGGCAATAAAAACTGCCATCGATTATTCACTCTGTCCAAAACTAAAATTAAAGTTTGGGTTCTAGTCTCCAAGTTCTGGATTGTTTGCATACTAAGTATTACTTACAAGAGGAATGTAATTGTTTCTCTGCTTACCTTAAATAGAAAGTTGTTGTAATACATTCATGTATTATACTATTTATAACTCAAATGGCATGAGCAAACGTAACAGAGTTGATTCTACTGGTTTTGTAAATGTGGGGCCTTAAAGGAAGACTTTACTAAGGAAGCAGGGACGCTGCCATTGTTAACCCTTCTTTCCCAAATATGTGTAAGTATTAATATATACAGGAATCTATCCAATAAATGTGCCGTATTCACGATTTCTAGATATTAGGCATTTTCCAATACTGCTGCTCAATTGTACTGATGTATTAACAGTATATAAGTGTATTATTTTCAATACCTTTATTCATTTTAAACTTTATGTTTCTAATTCTACTTCTGAACCCTTTTACACTATGATTGTCTGTCACACAGGGATCGCCTCTTTTCTCACAATGATTGATTAATAAACGGTTATCACATAATCAGTAACCATTCAGAGTGGTTTCTGATCAGGATGCCTAGCTCTCCAATGGCAGCATGATACTGGGGATTAAAGTGATCACCGAAGAATGTTGCAGCAGGGAAACATGGAACTTTATCTAATGCCCTCTTGGCATAGGGTATTTGCCTGGAGTATGTTAATTTGCAGTGTGTGTGTGTAATTTACCACCTTTCCCTAATATGGTCACAGACACAGTAACATAGTACTTACCTTTATATCAGAGGAGAGGATCATTTCATACTTATGGTAGAATTCTGTTGGATTGGACAGTTGGTGACCCTTTGAGCGTCCAATAAATTTTTCAATGTCTTGGAGTGCTGACTCTGCTCCATCCTGTGACTGGCACTTGTCCACAGCTTGGGAAGCCAAGAGATAGATTCCATCTTCACACCACTGGTTAGCCTGGTAATCGTATAAAGCAATACATATATCCTTGTCAGTAAAAGTGAAAGAAGGTCACTACATCTCTGGATCAAGCTCAGCTAACATTACAACAACTGACAATCAATGCTGATACACTATTTCATTAGGCCCTCTCTTTTCTAATACTCACCCTCCAAACCAGCACTGCCTTTCCTCTGGCAGCAGCTGCAATCCACACACCCTGATTTCTATTCCCCTGCTTCCTAGAACCAGTCCTTCCTTCTCATGTGCCCTCTGGAATGCCCGCTCTGTCTGTAACAAACTCACCGCTGTCCATGATCTTTTTATCTCCAATTCCTTTAACATGCTAGCGGTTACTGAAACCTGGCTTCAAGAATCCGACTCTGCCTCCCCTGCTGCCCTCTCCCATAGTGGCCTACATTGGACACACTCACACAGACGTAATGGAAGGAAAGGAGGTGGAGTGGGAATGCTTCTATCCCCGCAATGCACTTCTCAAGTTCTGCCTTCACCTCCCTCTCTATCCCTCTCCTCTTTTGAAACACACTGTATTCGCCTATTCTCTCCAATTTCGCTGAGGAGTGCTGTTATATACCAGCCACCTGGACCGATATCTCGCTTTCTGGATGACTTCTCTGCCTGGCTACCCTACTTTCTCTCCTCAGAAATACCCACTATCATTCTTGGTGACTTTAACATTGCTAATAACATTAACACTCCAGCTTTCACTCAATTCCTTAACCTAACCTCTTCTTTTGATTTAACACAATGGTCAGACACTCCTACTCACTCTGATGGTAACATACTAGATCTTGTTTTCTCCCACCTATGCACTCCTTGCAACCTCTCCAACACCCCTTTCCCACTCTCAGACCACAGCCTTGTCAGTTTCACCCTCACGCTATCCCCAACCCTGAATCCACCTAAACGGCACACTGTCACCCAGAGAAACCTTTGTCACCTCGACCCTTCTCTTCTCTACTCTGCTACTGACTAACTCTATAACAAAATTTCTCCCCTGGCCTGCCCTGGCTATTTCTGTCTACAACAGCTCACTTTCATCCTCTCTAGACACTTTGGCTCCCCTTACTACACGCAGACTTAGACCACGTCCACTACAACCGTGGCAAACAGAAGAAACCAGACATCTAAAAAAACATAGCCGCGCTCTTGAACGACTGTGGCGAAAAACTAGGTTTCTGCAAGACTTCACCCTGTATAAAGCTGCCCTCCTAAAATATCATTTCTTCCTCCATGCTGCCAAACAAACTTATTTTGTCACTCTCATTAACACACTATCATCCAGACCTCGTCAACTCTTCTCTACTTTTAACTCTCTACTATGTCCCCCACCGCCACCACCCACTAACTCACTCACTGCCCAGGACATAGCCATCAATTTAAAAAACAAAATAGATACAATTTGGGTTCAGATTGCCACTGTGCAGTCACCTGCCCCTATTCATGTACCAGACCCTCCATCACACTTGTTACTTTCCTCTTTTCACCCTGCCACCACAGAGGAGGTTACAAAGCTTCTCTCTGACACCCACCTCACCACTTTCCCCCTTGACCCTGTTCCCTCACCACTACTTCGGTCACCCTCTTGCTCTATCCTCCACTCTCTTACTCACATTTTCAATCTCTCACTCTCTACTGCCATCTTTCCCTCCCCTCTAAAGCATGCACTAGTCACCCCAATACCCAAAAAAACCCTCAATGGACCCTACCGACCTCAACAATCTCAGACCAATCTCCTTACTCCCATTCACCTCCAAACTCCTAGAACGCCTTATCTACAGCCGCCTGAGCCGCCACCTCGCTGATAACAACCTTACAGTCTGGCTTTCGCCCCCTACACTCCACTGAAACCGCCCTCCTAAAACTCACTAATGACTTACTAACAGCTAAAAACAATGGCCACTACTCCTTACTCCTGCTATTAGACCTTTCTGCTGCTTTTGACACTGTTGGCCACATGCTCCTCCTCAAAAAACTCCACTTGCTTGGCCTACAAGACTCTGCTCTCTCATGGTTCTCCTCCTAACTATCCAAGCGCTCCTTTAGTGTCATCTACAAATCTAATTCCTCCGCTCATCTTCCTCTTTCTGTAGGGGTCCCCCAAGGCTCTGTCCTTGGACCCCTTCTCTTCTCTATCTACACCTCCTCCCAGTTAATAACTTCACATGGCTTCCAATACCATCTCTATGCCGATGACACTCAAATATATCTTTCTACTCCACAACTCACTCCCTCAGTGTGCTTGCGTGTCACTAATCTACTAACTGACATATCCGTCTGGATGTCACAACACTTCTTAAAACTCAACTTTTCAAAAACTGAGCTCATGATATTTCCTTCCGCCCGTGCACCTTCCCCAACTTTTCCCTTGACATTGTTAACACAACTATCCATCCCTCCCCCCATGCCAAGGTCCTAGGTGTCATCCTTGACTCGGACCTCACCTTTCTTCCCCACATCCAATCACTATCCAAATCCTCCCGCCTTCACCTTCGCAACATCTCCAAAATACGCCCCTTCTTCACCAATGAAACTGCAAAATTGCTCATTCACTCACTTGTTATATCTCGTCTTGACTATTGCAACTCCCACCTCATTGGCTTACCTCTACGCAGGCTATCCCCCCTTCAGTCTATCATGAATGCAGCTGCTAGACTCATCCACCTAACCAACCACTCATTGTCTGCAACCCACCTCTGCCAATCCCTGCACTGGCTTTTAATAGCCCAAAGGATAACATTTAAAATATTATCACTTACAAAGCCATCCACAACTCTTCCCCCTTGTCTCAAAGTATCAACCGTCCCCTCCGCTCTTCAAATGGCCTTCTGCTTTCCAGCTCCCTCATCAACTCCTCCCATGCTCGCCTCCAGGACTTCACTAGAGCCTCTCCCATCCTATGGAACTCTCTATCCCAACCTGTCCGTCTATCTCCCACTCTGACTGCCTTTAGCCGATCCCTTAAGACTCATCTCTTCAAGGAAGCCTATCCCACCTCAATCTGACCACTGAACTATCACATTCTCAAACAATTCATCCCCACACAGCGACCTCCTCATGTATCACTTCCCCCACCCTTTAGATTGTAAGCCTTCACGGGCAGGGCCCTCCTTACCATCTTGTCTTGAATTGTATTGTAATTGTAATGTCTTCCTTATATTGTAAAGCACTGCGCAAACTGTTGGGGCTATATACATCCTGTATAATAATAATAAAAAATACAGCGTAAACTCTTTTTTTGTATAGTGTGGGGAAAGGTTAAAACATCTGTCACGTTTTTACTCCTGACCATGTCTATGTCACCTGGACTTCCTGTCCAGGTGACAATGTTGTCACAAAGACAGGAGGTGAGGTGAAATCTATCTAATAGATATAATATAAAACTTGGGAAGGGAGGCTGGAACCTCCATCAACTTTCCATTGCTGCCTGTTTTTCTGTTGGGGAATTCTTCCCACTCCCTGTCCCTATAGCAATATTGCCATCAGAAAAGCAAGCAAAGGCATGTCTCCCCAAAGGGGTAGCAGACAGCACTAAAAACCTGAAATAGGATCCAATCTTTTCCTACTCTTTTCAAACCTAGCTGAAGATACACTTTACTGCACCAATTTTACCTGCTAATGCATAGAATTAATGTTGAACTAAAAGAATAATTATTGTTTAAGACCAAGGAATGGTCACTTCTACTTCATAAAAGTGTCCAGTACATTTGAAGATCCACGTCAGAATAGTTAAATAATTATGCATGGAAATCTCACCCTGTCAAGTTGCTGGTGTAATTCCAGTGATTTTCTTAAGATGTCATACTTTTTCTTGGTCTCATTGGTGAAGTCATCGCATATACGCCTTAACTCTATACATTTTGGTCTGATCGAGTCCACAGCATAGTGGTTGTTCTGAATGAGCTGATCCCCATGAAGAGCATGTAACTGTGCTTTCTCCAAAAGATCCTGCCAAGGGAAAAGAACATAATTATTAAAATGAGAGTAATACTATTTTAGGATGTTGCGCTCTTATTATTGCCTAGGATAATCCTGTATTGTATAAAACTGACCTAAATACACTGGTGAAAGGACAGAAGTCACAACATTCAAAGAACCTAGAAGGGACAGGGGGCCCACACTGCTACCTTTTGCTCCTGCACCACAGTTTAGGCTCATTCCCATTAACCCTTTAAGCAAGTGAGCTGGTGTCCATTAGTTGAGGGGTCGTGAATTGTGTTGTTACAACGCAAGGCACTGTTTAACTTTGAAATATCACAAAATAACAATAACACTTCATTCATCTCCATGCACCGCAGTGGAGCTGCAGTGTGGTGAGTTATACTGGTATGAGGTGAGGTGCAGTGTAATACAAAAAAAATTAAGTAAGTCTGTATTGGGGTATGAACAGAGCACATACAAAACAACTGTGCTCTAGCATTGAGCCTGCATTGATCTGTGCAGATTAAGGTAGGTCAACTTATGATGTGAACGAGCCCCCCATATTCCCTTTGGTAGTGTCACAGTCTCTGAAACCAATGTGCATCACTCTCCGCAGTTGTTCATGTTACAGCCTCTATGTTCGAGTCTCTGCAGGATCAGTCTCCTATTTTGCACCTGGGGCTGAAGCTTGATTCCGGTGCTTTGGTGCAACAACTTTTGAATTCCCCAGAAACATGTCATAGGTCTTTTTCAGTTCACGTTCTCAGATGTTCTCACACTCCCCAGCGAGAAGTATTGCTGGAAATTTCCTCTGACGTCCAGGCACGCACTTGGGAGTTGCATTCAGCAAAGCCCTCTCTGAGTATCTGTTTCCAGCCTCCTGTACTCATGATCTCTATATCAGTTCTGATACCCATTTATGAACTCTGCCTGTTTCTCGACAATCCTTGTTATCCACCTGCCCTGACCTATTCCCTGTTTCTTGACCATCCGTGTTATCCACCTGCCCTGACCTATTGCTTGTTTCTTGACAACCCTTATTATCCATCTTCCCAGACTTTTGCTGGTTTGACCATGAGCTTGCCTGCCTATTTAGTGCCATGCTTTGTTTCTGTCTGCTGTTGCCACCCTGAATATAATCGTGGGCCGCAACCCGGGAGCATTTTGTAGCAAAGCCTATTATCCCTTGTGTGGTGCTTTGGCAAACACTGGGTGGCTCCTTAGACCTTTTCTCTTGGCCCCTTGAAGGGCCTACATTTGCTTGGTAACAAAAAGGGTGCACTATCTCTGTGGCAAATAGCCTTGTACTGAATCAGTGTGACAAATATCTTTGTAGGTCAGACATTCAGATTTTTACAGTGGTGTTATAAACACTTTATAGTGACATGACTTTACGTTGTAGAAAATAATACATATATAAATACAGGATATTATAATATATTGAAAAACATAGTATCAGATGTGTTAATCAGTAATAGTTTATATGTTATACCAAAACGATTGCCTTAAAAAGTATTTTAAGACAATGCTGCAATACAATCATACACACTTCAAAATTAGTAACTTAGTACACTGCAAACTCAGTCTCCTCTACCAAGCATTCACTCATTTTATATACGGTAGGTGGTTAACACCAATGAATAAGACATGAAAACAAACATGAAAATACGGTAATCATCAAATTTTATTTTTCCTTTTAAATAGTTCTCCCTAGGTATAGGCCCTATATGAAAAATGAATTACTAATCATACTTTGATTCCTAAAAATATGAGTGTCATTTACCTGTCCTTTTTCTTCCAGCTGCTTCAGCTCCTTGAGAAGATGTTCCACACGTGACACACTATCTCCAATGTCCGTGAAAGCAGCCTGAGTATCCATAAGTGCATCCAGAGTAAACTTTAGCTATGGAAAATTAAACAGAAATTAAATTGGTTATGTGCAGTTACCTTCCTTTATTACGAGGTTGGAAAATTAGGATGTTGTTTCAAAATGAGGAGCTACGGAAATCACTTAATGCAATCAGTTAAAAGTTCTTCTACCTTTTATTTTGAAATGGGACAACAGCTAATACACACCTATCAGCCATAACATTATGACCAATGAGAGACGAAGTGAATAACATTGATTATCTCTTTACAATGGTACCTTCTTTTGCTTTATTTTCTAGGAAAGAAGGGATTGCCCAAGGTTTCATTTTTGGGAATAAAGCTGGGTAAAACACGCTTCGAATTTTGGCCAGTTCTCGATGAACTAGTCAAAATTTGCTGCATGGGTGCCACTGCCGACACTCTGTTACCCAGCATTACTCAATCACCTGATCGAAGTAGCTGGCTGGAGAATTCTTGGGCAAACAGAGCATTCCAAACTGTTAGAATACTAGGGAGACAGCTTGGGGATTCATCGTTTAATGCTCGTAAGTATTGATGGAGGAATCTGTCCCATTTTTTTTGTTCAGCCTGTGAGTTGAACAATAACAATAGAACCGTTCATACCCAGTTTTATGTTTCACTGTGAAAATACATTACCCCTGGACTGCCTGTGTAAAGACTGTCAGAGTGTTCCTGCCACAGTAGTCTGGTAATAATAATAAAAATGAATATAATATAATAATTAGTTTGTCATTAGTAAGAATATTGGCTCTTTGGCCATACATGCTGGTTTCCCTAATGAATATTTATATGTTTGTAATGCTTTGACCGGTATAAAGCTGGCAGTTTGGCCATTGCCAGGACTGCTGTACCTGTAATCATTTGAGGCCTTAGCAGTGAATTAGTCGTGCCATTGGCCCTGGGCTATTTTCAGTTTAATGGGAATGTGTGCAGGTACAACTTTACATAGGCATTTTTGTTTTGACATGCAAGGGTTTGAAAAGCAGTGGATGAAGCTTAAATTGAATCTTATGTTTTCCTTCCAGGTATAGGGGGTGTGCATACACATTATGTATAAACCTTCTACTAAGAGTAGGGATGCACAGATACTTTTCGAGTACCAGTGCAGATACTTGGCATTTTCATGAGAACTACCAGGGTTGCAGCGGTTGCAGCTGGGACCTGGCTCTGGCGCTCCACCACTGTCCTGAAATCATTAGTCTGTATTGTTTTAGAAAAAGTGTCACATGAGAATAAACAAAAATGTATCAGTACTCATACTTGTAAGTACTCGGAAAGTACCAGTACTCGTACTCGCAAAACTGGTATCTGTGCATCCCTTTATTTACATTTATAAAAACAAAATCGTACATTAAAACATAGATGTACAAATGACAGGAGCTCCGTGTGCTCCTTACAAATGACAGCTGCCTCCTAATTTTTGAATTTTTCTCTAGTCTAGTCTTGGAGCTCAAAAGTATCGGTACATGTACTCGTACTTGTACCGAGTACTGTACTTGGTATCTGTGCAACCCTAACTAAGAGCAATACAAAGGCTGGCCTTCCTAAGTCAAAAGCCTTACAAAACTGCAATTGACTATAAACAGCACTTAAAAGCAGACATTTTTTAGAACCCCCATTCAGCTCTGGGCAGCTGCCCATTCTGCCCTTCTCCACCACTGATTTGTTTGGTCTAAGTTTCAACACTTAGACATGACCACTCATGATATAGAACAGTGTGTAAAATGCCCTATAGAGGCACCTAGAATAATGAAAGTAGTCAGTGGCATTAAATGTCGTCAAGCATGAAACTGAGCTATCAAGTCTAATTGTTCTTTGTAAAAAAAAAGTATATGAAATATGCAGATTACTTTTAGTCTTAGAGTATAAAGTCTTAAAGTATAAGTAAATGCAAAACCTTTTTTTAGATTTGGATAGTGTGGTGAAGGGTCAGAACTACTGTTGTCAGGTTTATTGCTGTCTGTGTCCCAGGGAGATTTGCTCTCTCTAATTGTCCTGATCAGGGACTCTAGAACTAGTGTCCCCTCAAAAGATTTCCCCTACTGTATAGTCATGCTCTGGTGACAACTCAAAATCTTCTTTTATTTTCACTCTTGGTGATAACGGTCACTAGGACAAATAGTGGGAGTGTATCTCCCTAACAGGGATGCAGACAGCAATAAAAACCTGACAGGTTCTAAGCCCTCTCTTACTTTAACAAAAATTATTTTAATGTTCTTGATTCTAAGAGTACCTAAGTACCCCTGTATGTTGCGGTCTCTGAGGAAGTTCCAGTGGATTGGTGACCAAAACTGGGCCGCATACTCCAGATGAGGCCAAACTAGTGATCTATAAAGTAGCAAAATTATAGATTTGTCCCTACAGTGCATTCCCTTTTTAATGCAAGACAGTACTCTGCTTGCTTTGTTTACAGCAGCCTGGCATTGCAAGCTATTATTCAGTCTGTGGTCTATAATGAACCCCAGATCCTTTTCCATTTCTGACTTCTCTTCTCTAATTAATTAATGAATATGTATTCCGCTTGCCTATTTTTAACCCCAAAGTGCATTACTTTACATTTATCAACATTAAACCTCATCTGCCATATAGTTGCCCACTCCCCTATTTTATACAGGCCCTCCTGTAATGTTATAGTGTTTAAGTCCGTGTCTATTACCCTCCTAATTTTAGTATCATCAGCAAACACAGAAACATGGCTATTCACGCCCTCCCCGATGTCGATGATAAACAGGTGGAATAGTATGGGGCCTAGCACAGAACCCTGAGGCATGCCATTCATGACACTAGACCAATCTGAAGATGAGCCATTTATCGATACTCTCTGGACACGTTCCTGTAGCCAGTTCTCTATCCATGTACACAACATTTCATCTATGCCCATAGACCTAGCTTGTGTAGTAAGCGTTTATGTGCCACTGTGTCAAACACCTTCAAAAAATCCAGAAACATCACATCCACCGACCTCCCTCCATCCAGATCTCTACTTACCTCTTCGTAGAATGTCGGTAGGTTGGTTTGGCAGGAACGGTCCTTCCTAAACCCATGCTGGTTATCATTTATTATACCATTTTCATGAATAAACTCTAATAAGTAGTCCTTAATCGTTCCCTCTAACAGTTTGCATACTATTGATGTTAGACTGACTGGTCTGTAGTTCCCAGGTTGGCATCTTTTTTGAATATTGGTACAACCGTAGCCTTCCGCCAGTCACTTGGTACCTTACCAGTCATTATGGAGTCCTTGAAAATTAAGAATAATGGTTTCACTATTACCTGGCTCAGTTATTTAAGTACCTTGGGGTGCAGGTTATCTGGTCCTAATGCTTTATTTGCATTAAGTTTTTCAAGTCTATGTTGAACCCTGGCTTCCGTCAGCCACTGTGGTATATTTTGCAATGAGCTACTTGCATTCTTATCTACATTAAACCCGTCTTTTTCCCGTGTGTATACAGAGGAGAAAAAATAATTCAACACCTCGGCCCTCTCCCTGTCGTTTGTGACTAGTCTCTCTTTCTCATCCTTTATTTGGCCAATCTGCTCCTTTCTTACCTTTTTACTGTTTATATATTGGTAGAATTTTGTTGGGTTACTCTTACTGACTGTGGCGATATGCTTTTCGCACTCTATTTTAGCTGCCCGAATTTGATGTTTACATTTTTTGTTGCATTCCTTGTAGTTCTGGAATGTCAATGCCGTCCCCTCCATCTTAAATTTTTTAAATGCCACACTCTTGTTTTTGATGTGTTGTTTTACTGTTTTATTTAGCCAGGCAGGCTTAGTTATTGATCTTCTATTTTTGTTACCCAATGGTGTGCACTTGGTAATAGCGTTATGTAATGTAATCTTAAAACAATCCCACTTCTCGTCAGTGTTCAGTGTGAGAAATAAGTTGTCCCATTTGGTGTCGCATACTAGCTGGCGTAGTTTATCAAAGTTTGCCTTTCTGAAGTTTAGTGTTCTTGTCCGACCCACACACTTCTCTTTTCTGCACCCAATATTAAAAGTAATCACATTGTGATCACTATTACCCAGTGTCCCTCCAATCGCTATGTCTGCAACTAAGCCTGCATTATTGGAAATCATTAAATCTAGTATTGCATCTTTCCTAGTTGGAACCTCAACCATTTGTTCCATGGAATTGTCCCGCAACAGGTTCAGAAAACGGCCCGCCTTTATCGAATGACAGGTTACTTTAGACCAATTGATGTCCAGATAATTACAGTCGCCCAATACAATAACATTTCCCTGCCTACCAGCTATTTCTATTTCGGAGTGTAGATGAGCCTCCTCCTCTTCCCCTATATTCAGGAATTGTAACACACCTCCACAATTAGTTTACTACTAGCATCAGTCTTATCTAGTTCTAGCCATAAGGATTCTACATAATTTCGATTTTGACTCTCTTCCGTGATGTCATCCCGTATGTGCATGGTTAGATTGTTTTTAACATACATGCATACCCCCCCTCCTCCTCCCAACCCTGTTCCTCCTGAACAGGTTGTAGCCTTCTATATTGATGGCCCAGTCATGCGTGCTGTCTAGCTAGTTTTCAGCTATTCCCACTCCCGCTCCTCTAATTTGTTTGCTAGACTTCTAGCATTGGTGTATATACAATTCAGTTTGGTGTTAGTATGGGTTACATTTTTCCTCCTTTCTGGCACCCCACTACTTTTTTTATTGGACCTTGGTATTGGTGATACCAAGTGGCACTAAAATTAGGAGTTAGATCTTACAAATGCATTCAAGTACCCTAACTAATAACAAAACTGGACCTCATTTGTGTATCACTCCACTGTAGATCCTCGAATCATCTCTGAATTGGTGCTGACACTGTCCTTCCTTCTGGAGGGTGGCTACTTTTGTTCTCCATGGTCCCTGTGTGTGTTGTAAAGTAACCACCGCTCCAAGCTCGAACATGTGATTCACTATCAGTATAAATGACTAAACCAGGGGCAGACTGACAATTCGGGCTGTCGGGCACTGCCCGAGGGCCCGTGGCCAGTAGGGGGCCCGT